ACTAATTAGTTTCCCTGCTGCTTGCTAGGAGCGGTCTCAACATCCGTGCTCTGGGATATTCTGCAATTCCGCCGTATGTGTCCTTCAGCTCCACATTTCCAACATTTCAAGGTCGGTTTCTTATCTCAAGGCATTGAGTTGTTGGGTTAAATTGTCTAGACGAGCAGCCATTTGATCTTCTGACTTTTGGACCTTGAGCAGCTCTGAGTGAGTAGCGGTTTCTACGAGTTGCTTGCTGGGCTGCTTTGAATTTCATGGCGTAGAAAGCTTTTCAAATTTTGATCACCCGTCATTCGTAGAGCTTTCTGTATTTCAGGATCCTAGATACCGTCGATGATGTATTGCAGGGACAGGATTTTTCTTATTTCTGTCGGGCACTCCCAAAAGGCGAGGTGAGACAGCCTTTCAACATCTGTGGCGAATTTCTGGAGTGTTTCGGTGGGCTTCTGTTGGCGGGATTTTAATTGAAGCCTATTGTAGTCTTTCAAACATTTCTCTCCGAACCGCAACTCCTATCTGCGGTCGCTATGTACTTCCTTAATGTGTCAAATTCTTTGGCGACGGCAGCAGAAACCCTGTCATCAATTTGTTGTTCCACGGCAGAAACTCTCTTTTCTATTTGTTCCTTGACAGAGGAAACTTTCTCTTCAGTTTCTCCAAATTTATTTTCAACCGCATCTATTCTGCCTTCCATAGCTTCAAAATTATTTTCTGTGATGCAGGTAATTTCTCTTTTCATCTCTTCTTGTCCTGCTTCTATCTTTTCCTGACCAGCATCCATCTTTACTTTAACTGATTTCATCTCGTCTTTAATCGAATCTTTCATCTCTTCTTTAAATGCAACAAAGGCCATGAATTGCCTTACTTGTTCTTCCATCGCTCTTGTAATGGGCATTCAAAATCCTACTCCTGACACCAAAACTTTGTTGCGTGCGTACGGGCTCGTTATGAACTGAATGTACAAGTTTGATGAAAAATTAACAAAATGCTTAAATTTCCTCAGATATTCGTACAATATCCAAATATCTCACAGTAGTTATCTTTTAAACTTCTAAAAACGTTCAACAGAACTAACTCAAAACAGAGAAACGTAGAGAAAGCCAATCCGATTTCACCGCGAATTGACTACAGTAAACAACAGCAGTTTTCTAAACAAAACTCATAAAACAACTGAATTGAGGTGCTTTGATGCCGCTTTTATAAGATTTTTAAAATGCACGAGAACTTTCTCGAGTTTTCCCGAAAAGGAAAAGAGTGGAATTACGAGATCTATTTATTTAATGTACGTGCACCTGTATTTTTAATTTTTCCGACGTAGCTTTCTCTTCAAATAAATCGCGTGCAGCATTGCACGGGGAAGTGAAACAATTTAATAACAATTCTATTAAAAATAGCAAACTAAATAAATCAATATTAAAACCGTAACAATATAATGTAAATATTATACTAAGACCGTGGTCATATTTGTATATAAATTTGTAAACTTATGCGTTTATTTGTTGGTTTAGCATTTTAACCTTTTACACGCCAATGTTCCATAAATGGAACATCGAATTTAAAATTTCCTAACAACACAATTTATATCTGCTCGTAAAATTATTACATGGAGCGTAATATGGATGATGTTGTAGTAGCACTAATTCTTAAAAAAATATCTTGTATACAAACTTCAATATTTACCTCTTCCGTCTTTCTACCCGCAAACTGCGAAATCTATCCCTTCCACATTCAACTGTTTTTCCAACGCAGTGCGAATACTTAAACGGGTCATTTAGCATAGACGTAAGTGATCATGAAGATGATTATCTTTGTTATACGAGGTACGAAATGTGGATTTCCGAAAGGGACCATGGCAGTCCGTCCTTTTAACATGAGAATTCCTTGCTTGCGGCGCGCAGCCGGAGGAAAGATTTTCCAATGCGGGGGTGAAGTGAGTACTCACAGGGGGTAGATACGGGGGGCAAGGGATCTGTCCCGGGCGCAGAATCCAAGGGCGCCAAATGATGTTACGACATTTTGAACTAAGTTTTCCATCTTGCAAGCGTATGGGGCGCAAAATCTCAGTCGTCTGCACCCCCTAGCTCGCCGCTCGGTTACTCCCGTGCTCGGACAAGCACGTGGCGTTGAATGCCAGACACTAGATGTGGTTTATGACTCAGTGCAAAGCCTATATTTGGCGTCCATTCATTTTTCCCTTTTGCTTTTTTTTAGGGTCCTCCCCCCCCCCCTGCCGCCTCCTTGCCGAAGCTTAGAATTTATATCCTTATCAGATGCTGACGAGGTATGTTGTAACTCCTCAGAAGAAACGGATCTTTGCAGATGAGGCAGATGTCCTGAAGATATTTTCGACCGTTCTGCCGCGGCTTGCTGTGACAATCGAATTTCGCCTCACTCGATGCTGCGCAAAATCTCAGCCTTTCATCGCTCCACGACCCTCTTCCAGGGGCGAATTGCGCGCACACTAAGCGGAAGAGAAAAACATTGAACATCGCTGGGGGAAATATTTAAAATTTAACAAAATTGCAAAAACTGGCAGCATTAAAAATATTTGCGAAGTGTTTCCTGAACTAGTTACTTTATTTCCAATTGAGATTTTTCACAAGTTCCTAACTAGAGATGACAGGTCTTTACGTAATGCAGAAAGAAGTTTTAGCTGTAGATGAAAGCGATATTGGACAGTTTTTTGAGTTACTGTTGTTTAGCGTGTATCATCGCGTTACCCGGCGAAGATTTATACTGGAGCACTCAGGAAGATTTATCTGTCCCAGTAGTTTCTTCTGTAATGCCAAGAAATAGATTTGAACCTGCAAATATTTGCATAACAGCGATAATACACGTGGCATTAGGAGAGAAAACAGGAAAAGTTCTCTTTTATGACAACTAGAAACCAAAAAATTTCAATCGTTCAGCATATTCCATCTGCAGTGGCATTTTGTATGAGATATTGTTAGTCTCCAACTCTCCTGTTTCGTTAAACTGCTAACAGTTAAGAAATTCTCATTAACTTGCTATCACTATGCAATTTTGTTTTAAGTATTACGAAACTTTTTTCTGTGGAAGCTTCATATATTTCCTAAGAAATTTAGGAGTCGCTTTGCGGTTTTATAAGGTGAGGCGCCCTGTTATGCTACTCTAGTTACTTCCGGATACCGTGACAATTCACTTGCTATGTGAAAAAGGCAGACAAACATGAAGCTTCGAATAAAATCGAAATCTGTTTTACAAAAGTCATGTAAAAAAACTCACGTTCCGCCAATGTTCCATTATGGAAATGTTAAAATCCTTAACAAAATTCTCTTGTTCTTTTCATATTTTATATTGGTTTAATCGATTTCACAACCAAAACGTATGTTTACGCATCAGAGTTGGGTGCAAAATTGTGGATAATTTATGAAAAGTGTTTTAGATGCCATGATTTCCTTAGTTGTAATATGCTCTGTCAGGGAATGTCTTGCGGGACGGGCAGTCGTTGGAAGGGGGCATGTTACGAATTCGTACAAGGGGGTAAATCATTTGAGTGAAATTCAAGGGAATGTATTTTTTTTTTTTTTTTTTTTTTTTTGGTCAAATGCAACGCAAAAATCTAAAGAAGCGTATCTTGCCATCAGAGTAAGAATACAGGGGCAAGTCTATTCAACATTATCTAAATAGTTTCTCGCTAAATTGGCGTGAAATCGCCAAACGATGCCAAACTTCGTGATCATTAGGAGACATTTTGATCCGTTTCCTGTATAACAATAATGAATATTGCAATTGAATAACTTTAATTGAAGGTATAAGTAGCTGTAACCGTATCCGGTCATCAGTATTTTCTAGTAATTTCGATATGTACTAAAGATTTCTCGGCGGCCGGGGGAAAACTATATAAGATTGGAGAAAACATCACTTTCGGTGTAGTTGTGGATTAGTTCAGCGTGGTTCGGAGCATTGAGATATCTCAGTGTTAGCTTCGCTCTTTAGATACGCTTTGCAATGAGTTGTGTTTAACATTCTTAATAGTTTGAAGTGTAACTACTGATTGCACTCTGTGATACTATGAAGAGCTATACGATTATTTTTGTGGAAATTTCCGTTTTGTGGAAATTTTCAGTTTTCCAGTTTGTTTCAGTGTGTTTCTTTTGGTAAAATAAATTTATCAAGCTATCATCGGTTCTGAGTGTATTCAGTCTATGATGAACCCGAACACTCGCAACAATAGATATTTTTTCTTTCTAGGACAATGGAACTCGGAAAGCTGCTGAAGAAAGAAGATCGAGAATTTCAGAAAAGACCAAAGGTAATATTTTTTATTGTAATATTTATATTTTCTTTCAAGCTTATATTTACATCATTATTATAATGAAAACGTCCTGAGATTAGACAAAAGTTTTTAAATTTTAATTAAACGTAAACGGTTTTGAAATAGAAGAAAGTATTAAGTTTTTTTGGTGTAAAAAAATGTAAAATATGAGCTTTATCCTGCCTGCGACCCAAATCGCGGATCTCCCGGAACACGCCGAAAATCTAAATGTCAAAACAACTAATAACAAGAAATATATGTCGACAAAATTCTATTAGTGGCTTTAACAAGTATATTCCAGCTGCTAGATTCCGATAATTCCTAATAGGACCAATAGGAAAAAAATATTTGCTGCAATGTTTCGAGGTATTTGACATTACTCACACTAGCCAGCTCAAAATTGAACGTTTAGGAAGGAATTTCCGAATAAACTGTATAAGGTATTTCTCCCGTCTTCTTAGCAAGCCTTTGCGGTGTAGTGATCAGCACGTTTCAGGCGCGTGTTCAAGAGATCCGAGCAGTCCCGGCGAGGGCACTGCTCATTTTCATGACTCCTGCTTCAAAATGGCCTAATATCTCTGCAGTGGCGCCCGAACTAAAAACAAAAGGTGGTGGATGATAATTCTCCACCACCAATCAAATAGTAAGAACCGACGTTGTTTCCTTTGCTAATACACACCGCATGGTTAATACAAATATATGTTACTGAAGATGTCGTATACACACACAACAAACACACACCACAACCACGCATACAAAAGGAAAAACATAAATTTATTAAATCAGAACAAACAAAGCAAGAAGTACTTGACAGCAAAGCCGATCGCTAACTATTTGGAATGTCCTTCTTAGCAACAGGAATTCGGCAATCAGATAAGGTTTGTCAACGCCAAGTACGGAAGGGTTTTTCCATTTCTATTTTTTGCAAAAACAGCTTGTTGAGTAGTACATGCTGACAAAAATCACTTGTTGAAGGATGATTGGCAACTACTACATTGGGTGTGTTTGGCGGCAGATTTGTGAGCTTGCGTTATTTTGTCTTATATTTTCCTAAAGAGACAATGTTTTATGTTATAATTGCATATATCACATTGTTTAAGTGCACCAGTTTGTATTTTTATTAATGTTTTACATTTATGTGAAGATATCACTGTTTAAGTTTTCTAACTGTTGTTGGCCAATGTTTAAATTTGAGCAATTATATTTTCAGTAAATAGGGTATACTGCATGTGTAAAATGCATTTATTGTGTTTCTTAAGTGTTCCGGTTTGCATTTTTGTCAATGCTTTGTACCTGTATGCACTGTTTTTAAAAGTACAAGATTTTCAAAATTCTAACTGCAGTTAGGCTTAACGAAGAGAACTGTGTTTACATTTAAGCAAGTTGGAGTAAAAGTGAGTTTTGTATTTGACTTTTTCGCTTGAGAGAGTTTTCAGCGCAATCTGCCTGCTGGGCGAATTTTTGAAAATTAGTTAAAATTAATTCCCGACTTGAATTTCTGGGAGTAGTAGGCAAGGGTAACCACCGGACGGAAGTGACGTCACAGAAAAGGGGTGTGGTCTCCGCCATCTTGGATCGCGTGACAACCGGAAGTGACGTAGATGAATTGGATGACGTTGATGTAATGACGTCATCAAACTTTCGTTTTTATTCTGTGGCAACGACCCTATTTTCGAAGTTTTTATTTTTTGTGGCAAGGAGCATTTTTTTTCGTTTAGGTAACGAGCTCTTGAACCACGTGTTTGGAATAATATCAGTTTAATAAATTCATTCTTGATGGAAACATTGTCTTCGAATTTAACATTATCTCTTCTGCTATCCTCTGCACAAAATTATAAAGTTCCTTCACTACAGTCAATAGCCCATCAGAAACAGCCATTCTTTTTTTTTTTTCGAGGATACTTGTTTTCAAGTTATCTTGTTGCACTATTACATCTCTTTGAGGTATTACATTATTCAAATAACTTTCATTTTCATAACTAATAATATTATTTTCATCCACAACCACTTAAAAAATTTCACCGTTTTTAGAACTCATTTTATGTATTATTTAATCACCTATATCGCAGAATAAATTATTTCATCACGGCAAGGCGTTAACAAAATAATCTAGCACACAATCCCTCAAGAACGCATACACATCAGCAAAGTTTTGATACACACAATCTATGTACAAATACAAATTTCAGTGCTTACGAGAAGTGCAATCAACTCAAAACCAGAAGTAGTAGGCAGTGCTCACCAGCGACCGGCAGTGACGCCACAGAAAAGGGGCGTGGTCTCCGCCATCTTGGGTAACGTGACAACAAGATGTGACGTAGATGGACTAGATGATGTTGACGGAGTGACGTCATCAAAGTTTCGTTTTTATTCTGTGGCAACGAACCTATTTTTCAAAGTTTTTATTTTTTGTGGCAAGGAGCATTTTTTTGGATTGTGGCAACGAGCTCTTGAAACACGTGTTTGGAATGATATCAGTTTTTATTTTATTATTTTTACTTATTTAACATGTGATTATTTTTAATTTATTTACTTTCTTTAATTATGTTATTATTTATCTTTAAATATAAATTAGTAATAATTTAGTATTTAATTATTTTTTAATTATTTTAGTATATTAATTTAATGAATGCTTTTACATAATTGTACAATTTTTAAAAATAATTCCACGAGCGGGATTTGAACCCACCATTTCTTATATGGGAGAAAAGAGCCTTACTTCTTAGCTACCCCTTTGTCTTATGAAACTTGTTATTTCCCGTTGTGCTTCCTCTGTGTGCATTTCACATTATGCACCATGATGTCACTAGGAAGGATTGCGCATATGTGAACCTGCTTTGACATGAAAACCGCTTCACACATTTATTTTTTCACGACGACGAACGAAGTCTATAATACACATAGAATTAATATTCAGCCATGGAAACGAAACTTTGTCGCTTTTTTCCAACTTGGAATATAAAAATTTGTTTACTTGAAATATTTTTAACCTATTCATTGCAACGTAACTGAAAGATATCCATATTTCACATTGTCAATAATTTATTTAGCACTGAACTCTTACAGCCTTTTGAGAACGAAATTTAATTTATCATACCAGACAAATGATCCTACTATTATGACATTACACGAAATTGAGTAGAGTTCCAAATAATGATCCAACAGTAATTAACATAAAGACCTAACACAATAATTTTAAGATAGAATTTCAAACTGACTGCTTAATAATGAACTTTTACAGCTTTTTTGACATTAACTTCTCATAGATAGTAAATAAATTGCACACAAATAATTATACATAATAGGTAATAATGACAGAAACTCCATATAATGACCTACTATAGTCACAAACTTTAAAAATTTTAACGCATTTTAATATGACTTATCATGAGAAAGACCATACTTTACAGAAAAGCATTATTTTAATTAAACATTTGAGCCACACAATCCCTCGCACATGTATAACGTTTTTATTTATCATGATTATGACACATAGTAAGTAAATAAAATACATTTCACAAAGTGCGAAACACATTTCTCTTTTAATCGGCTGTACTCTTAAGAAAAGATGCAGTGTGGAATGCTTAGAACCACTCGGTGCCACAGTTCCTCATTTCCCCACGCCTTGATCAAAATATACATGTACTTAAAATCAGTAAACAATTCAAATGTTAGTATTCAAACAGGAATATTCACAATTAGAAAGGAGGTACCAATGAACTTGAGTGATAAATACGACAAAAGCATGTAGGACCACGAAAACGAAAAGTATTGTGGAGAACGTTTTAAGATAAACTTGCTATATTTTTGCACATGGGATTGCATTTTTCGTTTCAGATTAAGCAAACATTCAAGATAATTCCTGTATAACTAGGGATTTTATTCATACTTGTTAACAGTGTAATTTATTAGAACAGTGGCAGACATATAGGAGAAGTATGCCATCTCCATGGAAACATTTTTCCCAAGCCAGACTGTAATAGTGAATTATAAAATAGAATAAGAAAAGGCCATATTTCCAACAAAAGTAGTATCTAAGTAAGGGAAAAATGAACAAGAAATGAATATTTTTTTCTAAAAATGTTCCCAACGAGATAACGGAGGAATAAGAATCTTTACTAGTTTCATGAACAGAGCATGAAAAGTAATGAAGAATTTTTAATTTTATTTTGTCTGTAGCACATTTACTTATACTTAAATCTTCCATTTGGTTGCCTGTACTCCACATTTAGGCACAAGTTGATAAATCAGAGTGATTTTGTATTTTAAAACTTCAGATTCAGAAATATTACAACTTCAGAAATAATACAACTCCAAAGCAAAAAGATTAAAATGACAATAGGGAATTTGCTGTAAGCAAGCGAACGTGACAAATTACTCTTTTCGTTGATTTTCATGAATTCATAGATCGGTAGCAAAATTTTAATGCACTGTAATGAACTATGATTCTTTTTTTCAAATTTATTACAATTATAATACTGAGAGAACATAAGAGAACATTTTTCTTGAAAATGTCCAAAATTTTTTATTCCCACTTCTGACACCAGTTGTCGCGTTTTTTTTTTTTTTACACCAGTTGTTACGTTTTTTTCTTCTTTCACTTTCGTTACGGCGTTCGTGCGGATTTGGAGTGAATAACGACGACACTCGATTAAGTATCGTAACACACTTTATTTAGCCAATACTGATCAGGACAGCTGCAAAGTCACGTTTTACAGTCGTCGAAGATCTACTATAGCACGCTGACACGATCAGCGACACAGCCTTCACACTGTCAGGCAATAACGGTGTAGACGCCACTGCAAGAACCAGATACGCTCCCGACTGCTTGTCGTTCTGAACCACGACCGACCTCGACTACAATCGCGATGCAATCTTGATACAAAGCGATACTCTCGACTCAGCAAGTTAGACAACACTGATGATGCACTCATTGCGAACTAAACGATCTCGATGCACGCGACGACCAACTCGGCGCTAGCTCGAGCGCTCGGCAG